GTTACTAAAGTTCAAGATGCCAGGACTGACCAGGGGATTCCGAGGATGTGAGTGTTTTAAAAACGTGCTGTACTTTCAATTTCCCAAATTAACACAATTGGATTCCCAAAAGAGAAAGGCAAGGCAGCAAAAACCCTCTTGCCAGGTACCAGCAGGTGGCTCACTGGACTTCCACGTGGTGGACTTTGGTTGGAGCTCTGGACCCACTCTGCATGTGTGCCTGTGTGTCCAAGATCCCTAGAGAAGATGAAGAGGGGATTGCTGTGGCCATCTCCCCCCCACCCCAGGGGGGGGGTATGTCTTGCTTTCTGTCTCTCTCTGTGTCTCTGGCAAGCATAGGCACCCTATGGCAAAAACCTCTCTTTAAAAAAACAAAAAACCCTCTTGCCATAATGGGATTTCTTTCTGATAGGAATCCATCAAGAGTTCTTAAAGGAGCCAGCAGATGGCAGGCGTAGCCTGGGTTATAATTAGGTCGCTGGACTCCCACATAGCTGTCCCAGTTTGAGTGATCCTAACGGGAAAGTGGAGAAGGCATTGCCGGGTGGCCATCCTCCGGAGGGGAGGGGGGGTGATTTTTCGCTTTCTACCTGTCTCTTTGTTGAGTGCACATGCCCTATAGATAAAATCTCTCTCAAAAAAAAAAAAAAAAAGGAAGCAGATGCCCGACTTGCACATCCATCATCTCGTCTGACTCCCAGCTCTATTCCCAGACCCCCATTCCAAGACTCAGATGCCTTTCGGAATTCAGAATGGTTAGGATTTTAGGAAGAAAATGATGGGGCACACATGCCAGCCACAGGTTACACAACCTTTCAGCAGAGCATGGGGTGGCCTTATGATAAACATTCTTTAGTATTTCTGCTGCAAAACACAAAGTTCACACTAAGTGGACCTCGCATTAGCCTCTCCCTTTCACGTCAATTCTGCCACCACCCGAATTGGAAAAAGCTGTTGTGTTTCCAGGGAGCTTTGACTCTTGGCAATTGCAGATAAGGGACTGTGAGCCTGTGCAGGTCTCGTGTGGTGGTTGGGGAAATTTGGGTGCAGGCAGAACCCATGTGAAGATGAAGGCAGAGATGGTGGCGATGCTTCTGCAAGCCAAGGAACTCCAAAGATCATCAGCAACTCTCGGAAGGTATAGAGGCATGAAACAGACTCTTCCCCGCAGCCCACAGGAGCTCACCCTGCCCTCGTCTCGAGCTTGGGCTTCAGCCTGCAGACTGGGAAACAATAAACTTCTGTTGTTGATCCTAGCAGTTTGCGTTACTTAATTATGGCACCTTAGCAAACGGGCACACATGCGCATTCGCATGCTGCCGGCAGGATTGGGGACCTGGCTGGACTTTCCAGAGAACAGCCCTGCAATATGTAGTTAAGACCTGCTCAACTGTTCACTGTTCACTCCCTTAGACCCAGCATTCCCTTCTGGAAATAACCCTCAAGTTAAAACAAGACAAAACAATACATGTACACACACACACATACACAACTTTGTGGAATACTACTCAGCAGTAAAAAGGGAGCAAGTTATGGATATGTCTGACTTGGGTAAGTCTCTGGGGAACTATGTTGAGTGAAAAAAGCCAGTCTCCAAAGGTGCGGTTCCATTACCGATTCCGTTCATACAGCATTTTTGATAGGAAAAAAAAATAGAAATGGAGATCAGAACAGTGGTTGCCAGGGCATGGAGGCAGGGACTGAGGGTGGTGAAGGAGGCGGGTGTGGTTATAATGGGACAAGAGGCCCTTGTGG